GAGGCATTACACTATCTGACTTTAAATTATACTACAAAACTATAGTAACCAAGGCAGCATGGTACTGGCATAAAAAGAGACACATGGGCCAATGGAACACAATAGAGAACACAGAAATCAATCCACCTACTTACAGCCAACTGATCTTTGACAAAGGCATCAAGAACATATATTGGGGAAAAGACAACCTCTTCAATAAATGGTGCTGGGAAAACTAGACATCCATGTGTAGAAGAATGAAACTAGGCCTGTACTTCTTGCCACGTACCAAAATCAACTCAAAATGGATTGAAGATTTAAATATAAAACCTGAAACTATAAAACTCCTGGAGGAAAATAGGGGAAACACTTCAGCATGTAGGACTAGGCTAAGACTTTACGAATAAGTCCTCAAAAGCACAAGCAACAAAAGAAAAAATAAACAAATGGGATTATATGAAACAAAAAAGCTTCTACACAGCAAAGAAAACAATCATCAAACTAAAAACACAACATACAGAATGGGAGAAAATACTTGCAAACTATGCATCTGACAAGGGATTAATATCAAGAATATACAAGGAACTCAAACAACTTAACAGCAAAAAACCCCAAATAATCCAATTAAAAAATGGGCAAAGGAGCTGAATAGACACTTCTCAAAGAAAGACATACAGCTGGCCCACAGACACATGAAAAATGCTCAACATCACTAAGCATCAGGGAAGTGCAAACCAAAACTACATTGAGATGATATCTCATTCCAGTTAGACTGGCTATTATCAAAAAGAGACTAACAAATGCTGGCAAGGATGCAGAGAAAGGGGAATCTGTAAATTAGTACAGCCATTACAAAAAACAGTATGCAGGTTTCTCAAACAATTATAGATAGATCTACCATATGATCCAGCAATCCCACTTCTGGATATATACCCAAAGGAATGGAAATCATCATGTCGAAGGGATACTTGCACTCCCATGTTTATTGTAGCTTTACTTACAATAGCCAAGAGATGGAACCAACCTAAATTTTCATTGACAAATGACTGGTTAAGGAAAATGTGGTATATATATACACAATAGAATAATATTCAGCCATAAAGAAAGAATGGAATTCTGCCACTTGCAGCAACATAGATGAGCTTGGAGAAAATTTATGTTAAGTGAAATAAGCCAGGCACAGAAAGAGAAATACTGCATGTCCTCACTCATGAGTGGAAGCTAAAAAAAAAAAAAAACAAATAAAAAAGAAAGAAAAGAAAACAATCATAATAATATGCTGAAGTTTCAAAAGGAAAGAACAGAACTGTGGTTACTAGAGATTTGGGGAAAGGCGGAGAAGGAGGGGAAGTTAGTGAGAAATTAGTAAAGGGTCACAAAGAATGACTACATTTTGTAATGCTGAATATACAAATTATCTTGATTTGATAATCACATATTGTACATAGGTATTGATATTCGACTATGTACCTCACAAATATGTATAATCAATAATGTTTCAATAAATAATAAAAAACAAAACTGGGAAAAAATTAAAGGGTTAGTTTCATTATTTTTAAAATCAATTATTTAATCTGCAAATAAGCTTCTGATTTATAAACTGTTGAATACAAGTTCACTGTGTTTTTATAGAACAGTTTTATTGACTATTTATTTCTGCCATTTTTTAGAGCATGTGGAAAATATATTTCGCATTTCCCATAAGTAAATATATTCTGGGGTTGAATGTTCCAAATAGGCACAGGTGGAACATAAAATGATTTTTTTTTAACCTGATTATGACCTACTGCTATTTAATATAAAATTCAATTCATGGGTTATCTTTAACTTTCATAAACATTACCAGTGCCAAATATTAAAAGAAATACCTTCATACCAGTTCCAGCTACATGTATACGTGAAGAATTAGAGCATGTCACTGATTATGTGGGTAAAACTAAATGCTTCCTACAAACTAGGGCAAAAGGCTTGGTTATACAAAGTACAAATCATCAAATTAATAAGCAAAAATGGAGGGAAGAGGGATCTAAGGGATATTTATGAGGGAAGACATAAGTATTTTGACTCAAATAATGAACTGGCTGAAATGATCATTCTGCTGTTTGGAATACAGGTTACTGTTATTTGTTTTTGTTTTTTAAGCCTCTGGTTCATAAGTGCTGATTTACTACAGGATACAGAATAATACCTGATTTTTTAGACCAGATTTTAAAAAAAGAAAAAAAAAAAAAACCAGCTAAAATCAGAGAACTACACAATCATGTACATGGCTAGGGTATATTATTTATTTTGGCTCAAAATCAAATTAAAATTAAAAAACAAACAAAACAAAATCAAATTAAAACCTATAACTAAGGTACCATTATTTTACTTCTCTTTCCCTAGATCTTGACACTGTCACTTTTATATTTTATTACATGCATTTTTATAACACCTTAACTCCTTTGTGAATGAGACAGGATATGAATAAATAAACCTAAAATAGCAGATAGCCACTGGTATATCATAGTAACAGAACTCAGAACTGGAATGTCCCCATACCTTTTCAGACAGGCATTTTTAAAATTTAAATTTAAATTCCTCATATGCCAACTTTAATCCACAATTAAAGCTAACAAAATTATTTGTAGTTTTTATTGATTTTAAATAATATTAAGATAAATCTAGGGATTAGGAAACTACAGAAGGTGAAGTATATTGATATATCAAGTCAATCTGTTTCAAGCAAAAAAAAAAAAAAGGTCAAATGAAGGCACAATTATCTATGTCTGAAAATTTGGCTCAAATACATTTGGGGATGGTAACACTCTCCAACATAACTGCAGTCACTAACAAACTAATCCCTTCACTCACACCTCCTAGCTTGGCTCCCTGGAGCTGGGCTCCCAATCTGCTAAGCAAATCTGCACCTCACTGTACAGTCTAGCCTTCACTCCAGTAAAGCACTGCATAAATGTGATGGCGCACAGAGAGATGTATTAGCTAATAATCTGTTCCTTTTCACTGACCCCTGGCCACCTCGGCAGAGCAAAAGTGCCATGAGAGAAGGAACTTGATTTTGCTCATTGCTTTATCTCCAGTAACAAGAACAGTTTCTGACACTAGTTCTGTCAATAAATATTTGGTGACTGAATGAATGATTATCTGATTTAATTACATCTACTTGTTAAAGTTATATAACAGAAGAATCAGTGCAAAAACCTGACTCCTCTTCTTTCTTCTTTGCCACAGGCATGGCAGCACACAGCTACCGTAAACTAAATGTATATTTTAGAAAGAGTACATTGTCACTAAAAGACAATGTTTATAGCGTAATTTATTTTCATTTCAAGTCTTCCTTTTGGAATCTAAATACATTGATGGTGTGGAAGAAGCAGACTCATCTGTGAGCCAGCCCAGCCTGCAGGTTCACACCAGCAGGACTAATATCTCATATCTCTAATTAAAGCAGATGAGGAGGACAAGAGCGGAGAGGACTGAGTTACAATTAGTTCCTTACCACCCCAAACACTGCTTAACCTTGGTGACTGGCTGTTCTCGCAAAGGCCAAACATATTTTGAAAGGAAAATAATCTACTGGCAACTGAACTTGGTATTGAAATGTCCAAGCAAGTAGATTTGCAGAGGAAAAAGGTACTAATGCTCAGGAAAACAACTATCAAAATGGGGACAAAAAACTCAAAGCAGGGAGAAACAACTGGCTAAACACACAATATATAACAAGGTCAACCAGTTTATAAGACAACAGAGAAAAGATACTATTAAAATCAACTTCATTTCTAATCACCTGCGCTATTTTGGTTCAGCACAACAGGCAGTATTAAGAATTCCACCTCCGGGTCACAGTGTAGAAAAAAGTTGACTACTGTTTCAAAGAAATTTTTTTTCTTAATGAACAAGATCATAAAAAGGTAACCTACCTGACCCCTCATGACAGACATCTGACTTTCAAAAGTGGCTTTATTAAATCTTCTATCAGTCTATCACAGAAGGGAAAAAAACATTATTATAATTCCAAAAATCAAGATCTTTGAAACAAATAGTTGAAGACAAATGAACTTCAACATTGCAAAATAAGGCTATTAGAAAGCTTTCCTAAATGATAAATTAACACAAAAGGAGTATTTTTACCTGATGTATTTTTGTATCCCAGAATGACAAGAACAGTTGTACTTATTTATACTAACTTGTTCCAGAAAGGATTTAAAATAACTTTCCAGCCAATGAGTTTAGGCTTTTAAAAAGAAGTAAATCATAGCAGGTCACCAAACATGTATTGTAATTTATAGAGTAGTTTTGTAAAAAGTCAACTTTTGGAGAAAACAATTCTCAAATTTTAATGTAGTCTCACTCAAAGAATACTCATAGTAACTGTAACTTTACAAATTTATGTTCCTGTAAAATAAAATTGTTAAATCTTTTCTGTTCTGTCAGGTTCTACTGTAAGCAGCGATATAAAGTAGTAAATTGCAAATCAGCTCTATTACAAAAATGTCTTCTGTTTTAAGATTTATTTTTTTCTGCAATAACCAAAACTAAATATTTATTTACCTTAAAAAGTTCATAAAGATCTTCACATAAATCTTGCACAAAGTTCATGTCAGAAATATATGGTAGAATCAAGTTTCTTATTTCATCAGAAAAAGGAACTTTTGCTTGAGGAAGCCAAGCCCAGTGAAATGGATCTAATAGAAAAAAGTATATTTTTCTAGTCAGTGAGAGGAAATGATTTATTTAGACTCACATTTATCCTGGTTCTTTCCCACAACTCCTAGGTTCTCTCAGGAAAAGTACAGGAGAAAGAACTTATCAGAGGAGAACTATCCTTTGCAACTCAGATTATTTAGATTCTGTCTTTGGATAGCCAATTCAGATGGTAAATCATAGTAAGATTTTATCTGAACTAGTTACATTTCCAAGTTTTAGACAGTAAAGAGTAAAAGGATGGATTATAACTCTGTCTCAAATAGACCTATCTCAAAAAATATATCTGACTCTACCTGGTTCCTGAGTTTAGAAATTGATGGATAACTATAATTGGTCCACAGCCCCCAGACTGGATACCATGGCTGGGACCTTTCTGCCCTTCACAGCTACAAATCAGAAACTGACCACTCACTTGTACAAAAATGTTCTAAAATTTTAAATCATTAGGAAGTGAACAGATGAGTGGCTATAAAAAATAAAAGATCCAGGATTCTGGGATAACTCTAGTTCTCCCCCAAGAACACCATTAAATCTACACAGTCAGGACTAGAATGATTTGTATACTCATGGAATCTTCTAGAGAAGGTGTACATTCAGATTTCTGCAGGAGATGGCCCACCAGCCACTCGAGTGCATTGACACAAGGAGAGTCACCAGTGGAGACCAAAGAAAAGATGAGGATGTCTCTCTCCACAAAGCCCACTCCAGAGTGATAGAAGAAGCATCTGCTCTCCGATAACAGTGGAGGACCTGAACACACCTCTCAGCACTGGACAGATCATCTATGCAACAAATCAACAGAGTAACTGTTACTCTTTCAGAAGGAGAGAAGAAATCTAGGGTTATCAGAGGTGGGAGGGGGGAGAGAAAGGGGATGGGGAGAGATTGGATAAAGGGCATAAAGAATAAGTATGATTTGTAATAATATATATGCTGGGCTGGCCTGTGGCTCACTCGGGAGAGTGCGGTGCTGATAATACCAAGGCCACAGGTTCGTATCCCATATAGGGATGGCTGGTTAGCTCACTGGGTGAGCGTGGTGCTGACAACACCAAGTCAAGGGTTAAGATCTTTTTTTTAAAGATGACCTTACCGGTCATCTTTAAAAAAAAATAATAATAATAATATATATGCTAATAATATTGATTTGATCAACATACATCAACTTTGAAGCCCTAAAATATGTATAATCAATTATGATTCGATTAAAAAAAGAGAGAGAAAGAAAAAAAAGATTCCTGCAGGAAAGTATAAGGTTATGACAATATGATCACGCACAGAGCCACTGTGGTGGGTGCATCCAATGAGAATCCCCAGCTCTGGTGGATCCTGCTGCTTAGAAAGCCCTAAAGAAGAAATCTGTCTTCGGAGTCGCTCCTTCTCACTTCTCTTTTATCTATCTCTTTGCACACTGGAGGAAGTACACTGCCAGTTCTAAAGAAAGCCTCTCCTCTGGCCTACATCTCTTTGCAGCTATGTCCTTTCTACCTTTTCTGAACAATTTCATAAAAGAAAAGCCCTTATTCTTTGCCTCTCTCTACTTCTGATCCTTCTCCCTCAACTTCTACTATCACTATCCAAACTCCCTCCCCTGAGACCACCAGTCATCTCGTAAGGGTCTCCCCAGCAGCCCATTTGCAGTCCTCATGCTACTTAATCTCTGTGTGGCAAGCAGCACTGTTTTCTATCATCTCTTTTATGAAATTCTCTCTTCTGTGGCTTTGGAGATACCACTCTCTCAAAGTTTACTTACTGTGTTTTAAGCCACTCCTGCCACTCCTCCTACCTTCTGCTAGCTTTTCCTCCCCTTTCAACATCAGTGTTCTCTCAGATTCTATACTTAGTCCTTGTTCTCCATTTGTTAAGCATTCATGAAACACTTATTGAGTACTCATGTGCCTGGTACTAGGTGACAGTATTTGTTCTCCATGATATCCCCAGGTGACAGCAAAGGCCACCAGGGCTTCCACTATCAAGATGACAGTTCAAACAATCCTCAATATCAATTTCTCCTTCAAGCTCCAGATCCTTAATCCCTGTCTGTGTGTTTGGTAAAATTTCCCAGATGTATTGCGGGTACCTTAAACTTAACTCTTTTAAAGTGCAATTTGCATACAGGTTCCAAACCATAAGGGGGAAAAGTAAAGTATAACCAAGACATCTCAAATCAGTTCAACAAAAGATAGGAAAGGCAAAAAGGAACAAATTGGAATTCATGGTAAACAGAAAAAAATAAGATGGCAAGAAATGTTCCAACATACCAGTAGTTTATTGAAACTTAAAACTAGAGTTAAATACACCTCTTAAAAGACTCAGATTGGCTTTTAAAAAATCTAGCTAAGTGTTGTTTATTTTATAAGTCATATACCAAAAACAAAACAATGGAGGGAAAAATAAAAGTATTGAATAATACCAGGTAAATGCTAACGAAAAGAAAGGAAGTATAGCAATGTTACAACAGATTAAGAAAAGCAAAAAAAACATTGAGAGGAATAAAGTGAGATATATTCCACACTGAAAAAAGAACAGGCCATCAGGAAGATAAACCACTTGACCTTTAAGTATGTGAAATACAAAGCAAAAGATGCATAGAAATGCAAGAAGAAACTGACAAAATCACAATCACAGTGATCTTTAATTTCCTTTCAAAAATTAGCAGATCAATTGACCAAAAAATAAGTCAAGGATATGACATGTAACAACTAACAAGTGTTAATTAGTAGACAGATACAGAACACTGCACTCAAACATTCTTTTCAAATACAGTCCTCCAAATTGGCCATACATAAAATCATAAAGAAATTACTAACAATATTTTCGAATGGCTAGAGGAGTTCAAATGTTCTCATCACAATGAAATGACAAATGTTTGTGGTGATGGATATGCTAATTAGCCTGATTTGATCACAGTGTATAAATGGATATAAATATTATTCTGTACCCCATAAGTATGTACAACTATTATATGTCAGTTTTTTAAAAAGATTTATAAAGTTAATAAAACAGTAAAGAGAAAAAAAAAAAGCATCCCCCCAAAATTACTAACAAATCGCCAAAAAACAGAATTTACACAGGCCATATTAATAGATCACAATAGAATAAATATTAGAAGATAACAATATTGCATAGTTTAAAAAAAAATAGCAACAATGAACAATAATTAAAAAACATCAGCTCACCTAGAAATTTAAAAATCAAACAAAATACTTCTAAATTATTCTTGTTGAAAAGAAAACCAGAAAGTATGAATATGTAAAGCAAAACAATAGAGCAGCACTTATACAGTTTGTGGTTTTAGCCAAAATAATACCCGGACGAAAATATGTAGCTTAATGTGCATCTATAGGAAAATGTTATAGGATTAACATAATAGAAGAAAATGATAGAAAACATAAATCAATGAAAAATAAAAGCAAAGTCTGATCAATGAAATAAGCCAATTATCTGAAAAAAGCATAAATAAATAAACAAATAAATAAATAGCCAATGCTTAACAACAGGTGAATCTTTGGTGAGGCTAATGATGAAAAGAGGCCCACTAATAAACAGTAGGAATTTAAAAGAGGCATAATCATAGATACAGAGATTACTTTTAAAATTTATTACATAATAACATATACAAAAATCAAGAAACTAGTATAATGAACTCCCATATTCCCAATGACCTAATTCAATTAGTACCAAATTTTTGCCAAATTTGCTTCATCTTTTCTCCCAAGTCCCACCCCCACAAGTATTTTAAGGCAAATTTCAAACATCATTTCATCTCACACCCTAAATACTTAATATATACAGGTTTTTTTTTTTTAATTGTAAGAGAATTCTAATAACACATTATACTCCTAGATCTAAAAATCAAGATAACATGGACAATTAAGCAAAATAAAAATGTCTAAACTGGCTCAGGAAGATGTAGAAATATCTGATCATTAACCAAAGAAGAGACTGGGATGATAATTAAAGCACTATTCACAAAAAATGGGGTCGGGGACCAGCCTAAATTGTTTTATAAGTAAATACAACCCAAAACATTAAAATACAGTTCTAACAAAATATTAAAATAGATAATTCCATGTTATATATGTTTTAAAAATTAGAAAACTACCAAACTCATTTTCCAAGGCTAACACAATCCTAAAAATCAAACCCAATCATCCAAAAATAAGCAAACAATACCCAATAAGACCCACATAGTACACAGCCTTGGATCCCTAGTGCCTAAAACTGAGCCCTAATGAATGTTTATACTTCACCCAGTTTTTCCTCTGCTATTTTAATATCTGTAAATTTTGCTCCCTTCCCATTCTGGAAAAGAGGTAATTATAGAATCTATAGAAGGTTCTAAATACTCACATGCTCTCCATTCATCAGGATGTTTAAAAGGAAATGCTAGACCATTATCAATTGCAGCTATTTTAATAAGCGATTCTTTATCATCGATCCTTTCTGATTCCTAAAGAGGAGAAAAATGATCTGCTGATAAAAGAACCTATATAAATATTTCTGAAGGAAAATTGCTTGCAATAATTATTGAGGTTTAAGGACATATTCTCTCTAAAAAGCCTATAAAAATTAAAAATAAGTTGCCAGAAAGAATACAAATCCACCTATGAAGGGAAAAGATTATCTTAAAAACCAATAAGAATTTTATAATCACTATTTTAAAATATGTAATATTATACAATTCCTCAATATTGGTTTCATTTTTTTTCCTCTTTGGAGGAGAGGACTTGAAAATATTAAGACTTTAAGAAGTGATGTTCAAGACAATTCATTGCTAGATGCATTGCTTAAATGTATGATATTTGCAAAATATTACTGATTTTTTTTTTTAAGATAAACTAGCAAAATTACCTTAGTAAGATCTTGTCTTTCTTAGAGTCTCATAGCAATAATTAGGTCAAATAGAAGGTGTTTCTAAACAAAACTCACCCAAAGACCCTAACTAAATATAATAAGATCCAACAGAAGAAACCTCAAAATATTCTTGACTACAGAATGTAGGTCATTCCTAACTTGCATATTCTTCTGTAGCAGAAATGAAGACTTCAGAACAAGAAGGTTTTCAGGTTAAAGAGTTATTTGCTATTTAAAGATAGATGGCTGCCGTTACTAACTAGCCAAGATAAAATAAAAAGTGAAAAAGGCAATTTTAAATTAAAAGTACTACAGTGAAGGCTCATGCCATATATGCCAGGTTGGTTTCTTTTAGTTTATATCAATATCTCACCTCAATGAAAATGCACAAAATACTAAGAGCAAAAGAACGACATTTTTAGTAAAATGTAATTGCTCAAGATATGCCAAAAAAATAAATGTGGGAGCTGTTATAAATATGTATATTTACATGTGTATTTTAAACCCATTTCTGCTATGACTGCCATTTTTATTTCTTTCATTCTTTTCTATTTACAATTTTACTGAGGTATAATTTACACACAACAAACTTCATAAAAGAGGGGTCTTCAAAAAGTTCATGGAAAATTCATATTATCTTTTAATTCCATTTTTTCCACAAGCTTTTTCAAGTACCCTTATATTAAAGCGTACAATTTGATGAGCCTTGACAGATGTGAAACCTTCACTCAAAAAGTTTCCTCATGCACCTGTGTAGTCCATGCCTCCCTCCACACCAACCCCGGATGACAGAATTTGCATGTGTTCCCCCAAAGCTCATGTCAAAATCTGATCCCCAACTTGGCAATGTTGGGAGCAGTTTGGGTTATGGGGGTAGATCCCTCATGAATGGATTAATACACTCCCTGCTGGTGGGGGGGGGCTAGTGAGTGAGTTCTTGCTCTATTAGTTCCTGGTTGTTTAAAGTACCCTGGCACCTCCTCTCTCTCTCTCTCTTGCTTCTCTCGCCATGTGATCTACTTGTACTCACGGGCTGACCTGCTGTTTTCCGCCATGAGTAGAAGCAGCCTAAGGCCCATACCAGATGCAGCTGTCCCAGAATCATAAGCCAAATAAACCTCCTTTCTTTATAAATTACCCAGTCTCAGGTATTCTGTTATAGCAACACAAAAACAGATTAATAAACCAGGCAACCACTGGTCTTTGTCTTTCTGTCACTAGAGACTAATTCGCGTTTTCTATTTTTACATAAATGGAATCACACAGTATGTTCCCTTTATGTATCCTTCCTTTCACTCAGCGTGGTTTTAACATTCATCCATGAGGACTTTCTGATCAAAATGGCAGAACAGACAGTACCCAGTGTCACCCGCTTCCACAATCAAACAATTTACAACTATTAAAAACCAACGAATGCAAAGCTGAGGCCAATAGAGCTCAAGGGAAGAGAAGGAGAGACCTATGGAGTACATGAAGGCAGGAGAACCCACGATGAGAGAAAGAAAGGATTGCACCAACCATTTCAAGCCCTGACCACTTCAAGGCTGGCCCTGGTGAGTACATGGAGCAAGAGCTTGCAAAAGCCACAGCTGTGCCCTTCATATGAACATGCTTGGAGGCTGCAGGGGAGAAGAGAGCCTTGGTGGCCCGCAGGCCAGCAAGACCACTAACAGGGTTCCCATTGACCCACATAGGAGCAAAGGGCCACAGACATCTGAAAAAAGGAGCCACTCAAGAGGCTGGTGAGTCGTCACAAGGGACCAGTGCATGGCCTGTCCCCTGGGAAGTGTTTGGAGTACAGGCAGTGTGGGAGACTGGCCCACTGGGGGAACTTTGGGGCACAGCATGGACAGACGACCTGCCCCCCAACCAGCGTAGAACCACTCAGTGGAGACTGGTCAGGAAGACAGAACTGCAGGGGGTGCAGTTTGCTGAAAAGACTCAGGCCCAGACAAGAGTTTCCACACAACCCAGGTATATCAGATTCCACAAGACCTGGAGGTATTTAAGAAGTCTATAATTAAAACCTGAGCTGCACAAAAAGCCTTCCCCAGATAATCAGCAGCAAAGCAGCAATTTAGCTCAACCACAGGGTTCAAGTGCTGGTCCCCACAGGAAGTTCCCCCATTTTAGAAGTAAGCAAAGGAAAACAAATAAGTTCCAGTGCAGAATTTAAGTAGTGGGGGCAGTTAATAATCCAACACAGAACTGAAAGAAAACACAAAACACCCACAGATCAGAGACAAAGTTCTGATATTAACCAGTGAAGGTCTAATATCACCAAAGAACACCTATAAAACCTAGAAGGACCGGAAGCCCCCAGGCTCCCAAGCTAGGATGGGAGGGAGGGCTGAAAGCCTCAGCTACCCAACCCTCCAATATGTCTGCATCCAACCCAGTGAGGACCACCCGCTGCTGTGGGAATCGCCCCAGGCTCCCAGGCTGGGGCAGTGCTGGGCTAAGGGACTCAACAATGCACCCTCAAAGTCCACATCCAGCCCAGCCATGACTGAGCCGCTGCCAGAATCCCTCCTGGGCTCCCCTGCCAGAATGAGGGGGATGCCACGACCACTACTCCCCCTTCTTCTCCCACCCTCTCCCCCTTCCCTCTTCTGTCTCTCCCTCCCCCTTAACTGCTCCACATCTTAGAATGTAAAATAATAATAATAAATTTTTTTTAAAAAGATTCATCCATGTCTGTGTATATCATTTGTCCTTTTTTATTGCTAAGTGCTATGAATATGTATTTTTAAATTTACTTGATAAACACCTAAAGTATAAACTTTTTAAAGTGATACAACAGCTTTAAGTGATAACTTGAAAACACAGAGATTATAAGCAGTGGAGAAATTATTTTTTTTAATCACTGAAAATTTTCTCAAATATATAGATTGTGTTAAACTTGTAAAACTATTCTAAAAATCTCTTATGTAAGTACCTAAAATTTGAAGTTGGATACTCAAAAGTTCATAACAATGAACCTAAAATCTATGCTTCTGATAGTGTTAAGGGCCTATGCAATCTATTACGTAGGTTAATCCAGTTTCTTCTAAGCAATAAAATTACTTTTTTTAAAGTTCAATGGAGATGATTCACAGGTAAAGCAACACATTCCATTTTATTAGGTAATATTGTATTATCTAATACTGAATCAAAAGAGTCAGAAGGACTTGAATTGGTAAACATAACACACATAAACATGTAAACATAACAACACGACATAAACATGTTGACAAAAAAAAATATCAGAAGCCTTTATTACATAAAAGCAAGAGAAATCTGGTAGTTCTACAAATTTCTCAAGCTCTAAAAATGTACTGAGCTAATATCATTCTCTAATACAAAATAAAAAATAAAGCTGCCCAGAAATGTTAAAAAATAGAAACAAGAAATGTAATGTAAACAAGTGATGGAAAGAAAAAGGATGAGAAAAACAGAAAGGGGATTAAAAATCAAGAATCTAAACAAAGGAAGGAGAAAATGGTGAAGAATAACTTCAAGGAATCTTTTACAGAAAATGAATATATATATATATATATACACACACATATATATATATATATTTTTTTTAATTTTAATTTTCCTTACCTTACAGTCAGTTTCCTCTACGGATTTCTGCTTTTCGTATTTGATTAACCAATTATCATTTCCCCTGTCTTTCAAGAAATAAACAAAAAAATCTGTTATTTCATTTTTATGGACATTATAGCTTAACTTGTCAGTGGAAAAAAATCTATTCACCTCATTTTTGAGACCTTCATTGGTTATCAGTAGCATGTTTACATATTAAAGATTTCAATATAACACAAACTAAAAAACCCATAAACATTAGCTAACACTTAGTGAATGTTTTCTTCATACCAGACATTGTTGTAATTTGTTAATTTATTTAATCCTCCTATCTACCCTGTGAGGTAGGTACAATGATTAAATCAAAGTTACTGAAACCTAGGATTACTTCTCTTCACCTCAGGAAGAAAAAGCATCCCTACTGCTAGGCAAATTTTTAGGTAGGCTTACCTAATGTCAGTAAAGAAATACTCTAGACAGTATATTAATATTAATATTAACCTAAGACCATATTAATTAAGAAGGTAAACCTAGAAAATTATATAATATTTTTTCAGAAACTAATATAAACGAGAAGACATTTTTGAACCACAGGTTGTCAAACTTTTGAGTGCATCAGAATTACCTGGAGAAAACAGGGTAATTCTGGCCCCCCAAAACAGACAGGGGGCCCCACTTGCAGAGTTCCTGCTTCAATAGATCTGGGGAGATGTCTGAGAAGACGCATGTTTAGCAAGGTTCCCACGTAATGCTGACCCTCACGGTCCAGAGAACCACAACTGGAAATCAGTTGGATTATCTACATCATTGCTCCCTTATAGCACAGAAAAAATTTAAAGTTTAATGTATTTAGAGACTAACAGTTATGCAGTGTCAAAATAAGCACCTAAAATAATTTACACAATTAAGTTTTAATTATTCATATTATGCAGATAACATTTCTAATATCTGGCTTGGTCCTGCTGCTAGGAAATTCCTCCCAAGGGGATTAGGAACTGAACCCTATTGCTTGAGCAGGAGTCTGGAGTAAGTCAGAATCCCCACTACAGGATTAATTCTGCCCAGGAGAATCAGTACCACATCTCTGTTTTCTAAGGCAATTAGAGGAAGTGGCCTTGAGACTTCAGCATCGAAATTGTATGGCTTTGATTTGGATAACAAGAATACAGTTTAAAAGCTAACAAGATTTTAGTGAATAAATGAGAGAACTTCAATACCTGTATTTCTGATGATGTAATCCAAAATAACTAATCTTTCAAACTGTGACTGAAATTGTTTCCTAATATTCTCAGGCAAAGGGTCAGCTTCGAATTTCCTAAGCCAATATTCAGCTTCCTTGTAACCTTCAACAAATAACTGAAAGGAACCAATCTATAATTTTAAGAACCATAGTTAGAGAAGGAAGTACAAGAACAAAGGGATTAATTTTTAAACTTTTCAGCAGTACTGTCACAAAATGTTATCTAAACACAATAAGAAAAATAGAAGAGTTAACACTAATTTAGATAAGTCACATTTATCAAGAACACTATTTTTATACCCTAATTTTACATAATCACATGAAGAATACATAGCAGATAAAAAATGCCCAACCCTAGACTTTCAAGAAGTACAGTAGCTATTTTAGGACAATTAAAAAAGAAAATAAACATGTGCCCTGGAGAATGCCACTTTCCAAAGATATACATTAAAATGAATTTAATTAGGGAGGCTAAACTTTATACTGATCCTGCTTATTCAATAACAGGGCAATTTTAACTTACTGAAGAAACATTTCAGGATTCCTTTTACAACATAAAATACAGAAAACAATTATATTTGAAAAATAGGATTCTTTGACCAAGCAGATTACAGATCCTGCCATATAATTTAAAGAATTAATCAATTAACTACAACCTCCAGTGTTTTTTTAAGTCCTTTCCTTAAAGATATGTCCATTTTAAAAGGCATTTTTATTATTAAAATTACTAGTTAACATTAAGCAATTTATACCTAACCCTAAACAACATATGACACACAGGGTAACCTAACCTGCCTCATAAATGCAAATAAACAAATCACTGAAAGAAAATCTATATTTTATCCAACACTTTATGTTCTTGTTGTTGGCATGAAATTTTATCAATTTCCTAAAGGCTTTCTTTAAAGCACTTATAATTAGGTACTAGTAGACATAAATACGGAAATACTATCTTCCTTTAGTCACATTTATCTCATCATATCCAAGGACGAGCAGGCCTTGTAAAAACTTTCAAACTTCCTGTCTACTTGAAGTATAACTTTTTTTTAGAAGTTAGGTTAACTATGATTTTCTACTCAAATTATTTTATCTAGAAAAATGTAGAACAACAATAAAACAATAAAATCATAGGCTAAATATATTTTAAAAAAATAAAACCTAGAGCTTTTTCTAGAATGCATTTCCCATTAACTTTCTCTACCTTTGCTTAACTATCAGCTAACCATCCCTCAGGTTTTTTTAAAAGTGCTAAGAAAAAACAAAATCTAACATATAGTAAGTAAACATAGCTACTACCATTTACTGAAACATTACTATGTACCAAATACTTGACAGGCATTTCTTAATTTTATCCTCACAACAACCTAAGAGGTAGCTTTTATAATCCCCATTTTACAGAAACTAGGGCTTAGAGTGTAAGGAACTTGCCCAAAGTCTAAGAGGTAACTAGTGGAGAGGCTGGAATTAGAACCTAGATCTGTTTCTAGACCTCTGCTTTGGGCCATTACTTTATAAAGGCATCAATGTAACTTCTTTTTGGAAACATTCCCCACCCCTCCAAACTGGGTTAGGCATCCTTCTATCCTCTCAGAGCTCCCTGAAGTTATCATCATAACAGCTTTATATTTGCACTGAAATTGCTTGTTTACTATAAGCTCCTTGAAGACGAACAACTGTTTTTGTTACCATTATATCCAAACTGAGGGGTTAAATGCCTAACTTGTGGGGCTCAGGATACATGTGCCCAATTGCCCCCCAAGTAAAGCTTATCAGTCATTTACCTTAGGAGGGAGTCCTATCCGATGAAATTTTCTACCTACTTTTGGCACTTTTTCTAAAGCATACTTTTTGCCTCTTGATTTTGCACGGTCAATTGCAGTGTAGTTAAATGTCTCACTGACAAGACAAACCACCTAGAAACATATAGTTCAGAAAAATGGTTACAACTGGTGTTATAGTATCTTTATTCATATACACTATGAAACTCACTTTAATGACAGAAATTAGCAAAGTTTAACCCTATAATAAATGCCCCAGGGAATCTAAAATAGTAATAAGGCCAGGCGATTTTGCAAAGCCCTATTAAATAGCGTGTATTTCTTTCTGAGAGAGGTATAAAAGCAGCAAAAAATTTGCCAGTGGAAGACAGAAAGAAGGGTATTGAAAGGTAGACTTAGGAATGAACATTTTGAGAAGACTCAAGTAAATATTTATAAAGGCCAAAAAGAAAATACTAGTCTTTGAAACACATCAGTCATTTCTTCTTTCGACAGGATCTCTAGATCCCTGATCTTTTTCTGCTTTCAAAATGCTAGTTCTTTCTCCTCTTTTTGTTAACATCATCAGACATTGCAGGAACAAGAGACATTCCCTTGGATACCCTGGATACTAAACTAGTCAATTTACTGGTCACTCATGACTCTTGGATTAACAAAAAAGGGTATTCACAGATAAGCAGGCTGTAAATTAGAAGTACATGATTAGAAACAAATTCTCCTTTACCTTTGTTTTAGGTACAATGCCCAGATGAAGCTTTTCATCCACAAGGAAGGCACCAGCTTCAGAAAGGTATCCCTGATTCAGAAGCAGGCAGCCTCTGCCAAAGCAGCAAGGGCAGCAGACCTTATGAACAAATTTGGTCCACTTTGGATTCAGGTGACCGTAAGGCTCTTCTGATTTGGGTTTAAACACACCAATAATTTTCTATGGAGAAAAAAAAGTAGAAATCTTATTAGGCTTTTAATATATATAAACAACAATCCATAAAATGAATTCTGATAAATCATTTTCTACTGCTTCCCACTGCAGATTTGGGCACAGCCCTCAAGTATTAAGAGATTTAGTTCCAATCACATTTTTACATTCATTCTCATTCAACAATCTAAAATCAGTAGTCCTCTGGACCAGTAGTTTTTAAACTGTGCTCTGAAAAACCCTAGGAATGAGAGGGCAAGTCTCCAAGACCCCATGCCATTTAACCAGATTGACTCTGATTTTACCTGTTTTACATTACTGAACTTCCGAGTTAAGAAAGGGTTCCACTGATTTTTAAATGTTTGAAAACCACCATTCTAGGTCAAGCAGTGTTATGATTCAATATCTATTTATATATCCAAATTCTATGTTTGTTTATTGTCTATAATGTACATCCTAAAAAGGCAGGGACTTTGTCTGTTAGGGCTACATCTCCAGTACTTAGAACAGTACCTGATACACAGGCATTCAAGTATTTGTTAAATAAACTAATAAACCCAATGACAAAAAAACCCAGTTCTATAAGAACTGTTCAATAAGAACTGGGTGCAATCAGATTTACAGGAACATATCCTCAGAAACAATAAATTCACATTTGAATTACTATTTTCCAAAATTTCTGCTATATATAGAAGGTCTTTGAAATTC